CATTTTATCTGATTTTTGTCAACTTTTCACATAATAGTCGCAAAAAACTAATTATCAATTACAACTTCATAATGTCCTTTATATTCAAACAAACTTACTGCAGCTGTTGTTTTGAAGAGCGAATTGTTGCACGCGACTATTATTTCGATCAGTAACATACATATTTCCATAGCTATCAAAAGCCATACTTTGTGGAAAAGATAATTGAAACGCAGTTGAACCACCTCCCGAACACCCGACTATACATCGAAAACCAGTAGAACTTGAAGCAACAATACGATGATTATAACTATCGACAATAAAAAGATAACTATTAGCATCAAGGACAATTCCAGTTGGATAGTTGAGTGTAATATTTGCTGATGAACCATTACCAACGACTGTTACTCCATCTAACTGACCAGCTTGAACAAATTGAATACGATTATTAACACTGTCCGCAATATAAAGGTTCAGATTACCATCAACATAGATTCCTTGAGGAGAATTAAGCATATTTGATAGTGATCCAGCAGAACCATTACCAGCTGCAATTGTCGGAATGGTTGTACCATTATTAAGTAAGAGTTTAACAACTTGATGAAGATTTTTAAGGGAACAATAAAGATTATTATTAATATCAATAAATAAACCATAACAACTTCCATTAACATTCATAACAGTAATACGGTTTGATGTATTAAATATATATTTATCAACTCGACCATAGAAATAACCATTATCAATATAAATATCATCAGTCATAGACATAAATAGACTATATGAATTATTCAAATTACTGTAACTATTACTTGTTGATGTAGTACTCGATTGAGGCCATGATAAAATAGTGTTACTGACTCGATTAGGTACATATACAGTATTAATTCCATTAATAAAAATACCATACGGTAATGTACCAATTGTACTACTTGATGCAAAAGTTGATGCATTAGAATACCATAAAGCATTAGAACAAAATGTTGGTTGATTATAATAGATACCTAAGATAAAATAAATTAAGACTATCGAAAAAATAAACTAAAAATAACTTACTACATGAATTTGATGCTAATATAAACTTTTGCACTCTATGATTATATCTATCAGCGACAAATAGATTTCCATAACTATCAAATCTTAAAGTTCCTGGATAATACAATTGACTTGGTGCAGAACCAGCTATTGTTGAACATCCAAATAAACATCGAAAACCATATGGTCCTGATCCAATTATTCGATGATTATAAGTATCCGCAATATAAAGATATCCAGCACCATCTAATGTAATACTATTTGGCTGATTAAGTGTAATAGTTCCTGGTACACTCGCTCCTGCTAAAGTTATTCCAGTAAATTGTCCAACAGGAAACATTTGAATTCTATCGTTCTTACGATCCGCAACATATAAATTAATTTCAACATCGAGGAAAATTCCCATAGGCCCATTAAGCGTAGTCGCACTTGATCCAGCTGTACCTGTACCAGCAACAATAGTTGATGTAAGTATACTATCATTTAACCATTTCTTAACAACTTGATGAGACGAAAATGTTGAACAATAAAGAGTATTACTAATATCAACAAAAATACCATAACATGCAGCAGGAACTGACATTACAGAATTGCTGATATTTGCGTTTAATGAAAATTTATCAACTCGACCATTATTTTCACCATTATCAACATATATATCACCTAGAGGAGTAACGAAAAGATCCCATGGTTTATTCAGACTACCAGAAAGAATTTCATCTGGAGTAATACTTCCTTCGAGCCATACTACAACCTTATTACTTGGTTGATTAGCTGCATAGACAGTATTATTAATACTAACAAAAACACCATATACGTAAGTTCCAACCGTGCTACTATTAGCAAATGTAATTGCATTTGTATACCATGTTGAAGATGGACATAAGTCTGGTTGATTGACAGTTGTACCTAAAAATAAAAATAAATTAAGAATCATTGGTATTATTATTCCAACATCTTCATCGAATGAAATATTTCCTAGTAAAAAATATTAATAGTATGATCGATCTTAAAGAGATTTTAAGAGAGTTGGATAGTTTAATATAATCAGAATCAATTTCATTATTATGTATTACACAAAAAAGAAACTAAGATTGATTAATTCAAATAAATCTCTTCGATTAGATTTTATCGTAGCTATTAAATTTTATGAAACAAAGCTTCTATTTTACTTACTATAAATATTATTTGTTATGTAAAATTTTTGAATCCGATTGTTGTAGTTATCAACAACAAACATATTACCGTAACTATCGAAACTTAAACTTGTTGGATAATGCAATTGATTAGATGCTGAACCGGCAACACTTGAACATCCTAATAAACAACGAAATCCGTTTGGTCCTGATCCAACAATACGATTATTCAAATAATCCGCAATAAATACGTAACCATCTGCATCCAGAACAACTCCAGCCGGACCATTGAGACTAATAGTTCCTGTTGCTCCAGTTCCTGCTATCGTTATTCCATTTACTTGTTGTGGTAGGAATTTTTGCACCCTATCATTGGTATAATCAGCAACGTACAAATTGAGATCTGTATCAACAAAGATTCCGCGAGGATTATAAAGCGTATTTGATGTTGATCCTGAGCAGTCTGTACCGGCAGCAACGATCCACATATCTGAATTACTATTTAATGATTTTGTAACAACTTGATGATATGTATATTGTGAACAATAAATATTATTATAAATATCAACAAAAAGACCATAACATGCGGCTTTAATATTCATTACTGAAACACCAGTTGTTGTATTTACTGTCCATTTATCGACTTGACTATTTGAATTACCATTATCAATATAAACATCACCGTTAACTGTAACAAACATCGCATAGGGAGAAGATAAACCACTACTAATATTTCTTATAGGTACGGTACTATTTTCAAGCCATACTTGAATCATATTTTTAGAATATTCACATACATAAAGTGTATTGTTAGTATCAACAAATAAACCATATGGATTTGTTCCGATGGTAGTAGTGTTGAAAAGAGTTACTCCATTAGAACTCCAAGTAGCATAAGGACTGAATGTTGGTAAGTTGTATGAAAGAACTAAAAAATATATTTAGCAAGGATTCTTTCAATTCTTAATAAATTAATCATTTCGTGTATCTTCAGCATTTTCCTAGATGCGATCTAATTGAGGAATAATATACAATGTCTATTCATATACTGTAATGGAATTCTTTCTATGATACTTATAAGCGACAGATTTTATTGGAAAACTGTACCAAAAATTCCGAGTATTTGTTTTATTTGTTCCTTTCAATTCTACTATACTAACCAGGTATGGTCGACTAATATTATTCTTACTTTCTATAGCTAGATTTGTTTACTTAACAAACAGTCCACTGAAAAGTATGATAAACTAATTAAACTTCATATGAATAATATGAAAAAATCTGAATGGAATTTTCAAAAACATATTTTATAAACAACATACGTGTCGAAGAAGATACACTTGTAGAATTTGTTCCATAGGTAAATGTTAATAAAGGAACTGATTGCGTACTATTCATCGGTGTTACTATTAAAAACAAATCTAAATTCTCAGTAAAAACAAAAATTAATAAGAAAATACCACTAGACATTGTTGTCGTTGATGTTGTTACATCTATTAAAAAAAGAAAGATATAATTTTAGTTAATAAAATAAATGAGATTTATTTTCACTTACTGCATCCATTTGTTACTAATAAAAACTTTTGGACGCGACGATTGTTCTCATCATTAATAAACATATTTCCATAACTATCAAAACTAAGTGAGTATGGAAGATATAATTGACTAGATGATGAGCCAGAAGATCCAGAACATGCTGCTATACATCGATATCCATAAGGTCCTGAACCGATAACACGATAGTTATATTGATCAACAATAAAGAGATATCCATCAAAATCAAGAATAATTCCAGTTGGACGATTTAGTATAATAGTTCCTGTTGTTATTGTTGTTCCATTTAATTGTCCTGATGCAAATTTTTGAATCCGATTATTATAACTGTCAGCCACGTACAAATTTAAATATTTGGAATACTGTCGCTGGAACAGGAACTGCTG